TTTTTCGCGAATTTGAACGATCTGAGAATACAGTTTTACTCAGAATTCGACGCTGATTCCGAATATGTATGACTCATTGCGTAATTTTTTGGGCACGAAACCTTACATTCTGCCACTTGTCCTTTAATTTCTTTTACTCACATATTTTCTATCATCCATAAATTTCATTTGATAAAATCTCTTGACAATGATATTTTTTCTACATATTTGACTGACAAACGTTTTAATTTTGCTTTACTGTTGTTTCTTCACTTTACCATTTCATTTTCATATTTCTTTGATTCAAGTGCATAGAGAAAAAATAGAGTTGAGAGACACTAGAATTATTGTACGCACAAACGGTTTTTGTTTTGTTTCAATACGGATCAGAGTACATCTTACCTCGGCTATGACGGCTCAACACCATATATGATTTTAGCGAATGATCCAGTATCTGAACCCGTTAATTACTCAACGTGGTACTCTATACTCAAGTGGAATGAACAAGGAAGAAAATTTTATTCAGCCGTACGATCGTCGTTCTGTAAACGATCGTACTTTCTTTCCTAAACAGAAAATCTTGTTTATCTCAGCTGGGAAGCATTTGTCTGAGGTGATGTTTCGAAGAGAAAATGTAGAGAATAAACTTCTGCACAAAAATGAAGACTCTTAGAACGCCCTTAGAACGTTGTCGATTTACCCAAAAACGTTTCGTTTTCGAGAGAAATCGTTTTTAATGTTTTTCTTCAAAAGTATATTAGTGTTATTTGTGCTAAAACAACTCGGTACTATAAACTGGAGTACGACATTGAATAATTGCTGTAAAATTTGATCAGTTCGCAGTTGCTGTAGCACAAATAACACTGATATACTTTTGAAGAAAAACATTAAAAACAATTTCTCTCGAAAACGAAACGTTTTTGGATAAATCGACAACGTTCTAAGAGTCTTCATTTTTGTGCAGAAGTTTATTCTCTACATTTTCTCTCAGAGGCTCCACCTCAGAAAAATGCCTCCTAGCTGAGATAAAACAAGCTTTTCTGTTTAGCAAAGAAAGTTGAAGCTTTTCTTGAATGAATTACGCAAAATACTGAAGCGTAGTTACAAATACCAAAATTCAGTATTTCGGAGGGTTTTTGTATCTGCCACTATACGAAACGCAAACACTCCTCCAAACACTGCTTCGTATTTTGAAATACTACAGGAAGTTTTTTTATACGTTTCGTTTTGTAATATACGTTATTTTTCCAGTGTTCTACTTGTATGACTATTCGAAATATCTATAAGAAGAAGGAATAATGTACGTTTCCCATGAAAACATTCTAACATTTCTTAGTTCAAGACTATTTTTTCTGATTAACATCGTTGATGTGAATGTCGTCTTTCTCTCGCTTATCGTCGATCTACAATATTAAGAGATGATCTAAAGTTTAATCTAAAAGTAGAACTCAAGCAAAACCAACCTAGTTCTCAAGTATACTTTTAGCCATCACCATGTTTCAACAGAACAGTACCTCAGAATATTTACCTGAACAGAACACGCGTTGTACTGGAAACGAGTGCATGATCTCTAAGACTTAGTAGGACACGCTGGAATCATGATTATTTTTCATTAGAGTGTCACGTATTTCGTCTCGAAAAGCAATGCTTTTAAATCCATTTGTTTTGGTGTTGATGAAGTTAGTCCCTAGTTCACTTTCCCTGGAAAAAATCCTCAGGAAATCACCTAATAGATTCTCCAGGGAGTTTAGAGGGAGTCTAAGGATTTCTCAGGGAGTTCCCAAAAACGAATAAATGCTAAATTCGACTCCAGTGCTCAATTTTAAGCGTAATTTAGCCTTTTTTTCATCGACTTTTATCAAATTGAAATTTATTTTATATACGAAAAACCACCACTTTCTCTCCAAAATTCTTTCTGACCTGAGCCACATATTCAACCTCGTCTAGGGGACGAGTCACTCGGTTGAAAAGTTAACTCACATCGAAATGACGAATTAGCGCCGACGAGTCTCAGGCGAAAGCAGCTGCACTTATCTAAAAAAGGTCTACGTCTTCACAAGAGAAGAAAAAAAGAGAATGATCTTCAAACTCATCTCGAAGCAGCTGATCATTCGAGTTGCTATGTCCAATGTTTTATTGAACAAACTGAAACTGTTATTGTAACGCCAATTAACAGCCTCCAAGAAAAGTCAGAGCTTAGCGAACTTAATGATGTTGAACTGAATCGATTGGGTAGCGAAGTTGTGGTAGTTGATAGTAGTGCAAATGAAGATGTATAGCTTAAAGATGTCAATAATTGAGGATCATTTTGACTAAGAATTTGTCGAATAGCATGAACAAGATCATTGCTGTTACAAAGGTGTTTGCTGCATGAATAGGTGATTGTCGTTTGACTAACTAAGTTGGTAATGGTTGACTGTACACGTATTCCATTCGTACTCATTGAACCTTTCTTCACGCACGATCTAACCGATATTTTATTAGAATCGAACCAAGTAGATATAATTTGACAAACACCTCCTGGACACGATACTTCTTTGTCATATTGATTATAACATGCTAAATCATTGTTGGTGGTTGCTGTTGTATTCTCGCCCACTAACAAGTCGGATAGACCATTTATTATATATTCATAGTTCAATGTTCTTGTCTCATTAAATAGCTGCTGTGTGTAGTTTAATCCACACTCATCACCATTAAAACACACATAACTCATGCTTCGCGTAAATTTTTGTTTATCTAGCCAGATTGTTGCGGAATGCGTTATTAATGGATATTCACCATTTGTCAGATACAATAGATCACCAGGTAAGAGAGAAAACATGATTTTTGTACTATTTGCGGGGTAATCGACTATAAAATTAATCCAGCAACCATCAGATGTATTTATTGTTGAACATGTTGATAAATCGATTTCTGTATCATCGAATGACAGTGAAACTGATGTCGTACAAACTCTACAAGTTCGATTTGATTGAACAACAATTACACAAAGATAAAATATGAAAATTTTCAGCATCTTTTTAATATTCTAATAAAAGGATGCATGGTCATGATACCTATTTATATAAACTGAAGCGATAACAATGATTAAAAATTTCAAGTGTTTAAAAAAGTGATTTAAATATTGTTACTCTTCAAATAAAACTTGCACCTTATTGTAGTTTGATACAATTGTTCTTGAAAAAAAAGACCTTGATTGTCGATCAATAAAAGTTTGAGACCAGTTTTATCAAAGACGTCATTCTAAGAATATCACTTAAATCATTTCAGAAAATCAGACCATGTCTGAAGATTTGATTTCTCATTACTTACCGAGAAAACAGGACATCAAAAATCCTTTGATTCTTAAGGTGTCGGCAATTCAAAGTTTCAACAGAATTTATTTTTAATTTATTTATGCTTGGTTGGATAGAACTCCTCGAGTTACCTAGAAAACTGTTCTCCCTAGCTTAAGGAGAACATTTTTGATGTCCTATTTCCTCGGTAAGTAATGGGAAATCAAATCTTCAGACATGGTCTGATTTTCTAAAATGATTTAGGTGATATTCTTAGAATGACGTCTTTGATAAAACTAGTCTCAAATTTTTATTGATCGACAGTGGGTATTAATAAAAGACGCGAACACCCACGAACACCCCCAAATTAAAATCTGAATTAGCCAATCGATAGTGCTCGTCCAGTTGAGTATAGCAACGCCTAACCAACACTCAAAACGGTTTTATAGTTTCGCTTTTTAACCATACATTTTCAATAAACATCCACGAACACCCAAAAGAAACGGTAAGAACATCCCAAAAAGTGTGCCAAATCCATTTCCAGGTTGTGCTGAGCCTACTGATATCATTGAGCTAGTTGAAAAATAGTGAAGAAATTGGTACCAGTAGGCTCAGCACAATCTGGAGATGGATTTAGCACACATTTTTGGGGGTGTTCTTACCGTTTCTTTTGGATTTTCGTGGCCGTATGTGAGTCTTCGCGCCTTTTAGTAATATCCATCGACAATCAAGGTCAGTTTTTTCAAGAACAATCAGACTACAATAAGATGCAAGTTTTATTTGAAGAGTAACAACATCTAAATCACTTTTTTAAACACTTGAAATTTCCAATCATTGTTATCGCTTCAGTTTAATCAACTATCCATATATTCAATATGATAGAGTCATGAACACCGCTTAGAATCACAAACTCTGTAATTCTAAGCGGTGTTCATGACTTTCACTTCTCGTGAATAAATTAGTCTTAATCTATAGCGATCTGTCCCTTAGCCTTCAATATAGCTTTTTAAAAAAATTTTCGAACATATTACTTATTAAAATATTATGTGCTTTCTTTGGATGTAAGTATCAGAGTTTCTGAGCATGATAATGGATGTTCCACTTTCTTTATAAAAAAAACCTCTATGATTGCATAATATCTTGCACAAGTACTTGCACATGTTAATACCCTGTTTCAATTAGCAGGTTCCGCGACTATGCTGACTTATATCTGCTACCCAATTTTGGAAGTCTAAGAGTGGCCCGATGTACCTTAATACATAAGTTGAATTTGAACATAAAAAACAAGAATACACTTTATGACGTACTATTGTGATTCTCACGTATAATGATAAACGAGGAAGTATTTAGAAGTTTAGAAGTCAACATAACATTTGTAAGGTGCACAGAATTTAGAGACTTTTTACTCGTCCTAAAACTGGAAAAACTCGAAAGGTGTCAAAACCCGAGGACATAGTTTTTTCGCGTTTTGGTTTCAATGCTTGAACCTAAGTTTCTAGATTCAGCATCAAAAACTG